GTTCCCTGCCCCCTACATTTTACTAAGAATGTAGTGTAAGGGGAAGGTAGACTGGTTCCCTGCCTACATTTACTACAGAATGTCCCGTGTACAGCGGGAAAGTAGAACTGGTTCCACTGCTACTTAAACTACGTGTAAAGGGGAAGGTAGAAATGTTTCCTGGCACATTTAGCTACAGAACATAGTGTAAGGGGAAGGTAGACTGGTTCCTGCCTAATTTTACTACAGAACGTAGTGTAAGCACCACACACACGGTTCCCTGGCTACATTTACTACAGAACATAGTGTAAGGGGAAGGTAGAAAGGTTCCCAGCCTACTTTAACTACAGTGAAAGGGGAAGGTAAACAGGTTCCCTGCCTACTTTAACTCATGTATGGGGAAGGTAGACTGGTTTCCCTGGCTAAATTTACTACAGTGTTAAGGGGAAGGTAGACTGGTTCTCCTGCCTACTTTTAACTACAGTGTAGGGGAAACGGGGGTTAATAAGAACCAGGGGTTTTCCCTGCCTACTAACTACAGTGTAAGGTGAAGGTAGACTGGTTCCCTGCCTCTTTTAACTACAGTGTAAGGGGAAGGTAGACTGGTTCCCTGCCGACTTTAACTACAGTGTAAGGGGAAGGTTGACAGGTTCCCTGCCTGCTTTAACTACAGTGTAAGGGGAAGGTAGACTGGTTCCCTGTCGACTTTAACTACAGTGTAAGGGGAAGGTAGAAATGTTCCCTGGCTACATTTACTACAGAACATAGTGTAAGGGGAAGGTAGACTGGTTCCCTGCCTACATTTACTACAGAACGTAGTGTAAGGGGAAGGTAGACTGGTTCCCTGGCTACATTTACTACAGAATGTAGTGTAAGGGGAAAGTAGAAAGGTTCCCACCTACTTTAACTACAGTGAAAGGGGAAAGGTAAACAGGTCCTTGCCTACTTTTTAACACAGTGTAAGGGGAGTAACTGGTTTCACCTGGCTCATTTACTACAGTGTAAGGTTTGGAAGGTAGACGGTTCCTGCCTAACTTTAACTAACAGTGTAGGAAAGGTATGACTTGCTGTTCCCTGCCACTTTAACTACAGTGAAAGGGGAAGGTAGAGCAGGTTCCCTACTACTTTTAACTACAGTGTAAGGGGAAGGTAGACTGGTTCCCTGGCTACATTACTACAAGTGTAAGGGAAGTTACTGGTTCCCTGCCTACTTTATAACTATCAGGTGTGATGATTAAGAGGGAAGGTAGATCTAGGTTCGCCTGCTGACTTAGACGTTCAGTGTAGATGGGGAAGGTAGATTAAGGTTCTATCCTTGGGTTGTGGGCCCGTACTTTACCTATACAACCCTTGCTCGTACTATGAGAATGACCACTGGTAAAGGTTGAAAAGTAGGACAAGGAAACCTGTCTAACCCATTGGTTCCCCTGCTACTTTAACTTTCTACATAGTACACTGAGGAGGGTATAAGAGAGTAGACAGGAGATGTTCGCCTGCCTACATGGTTAAGAACATAACCACTGGTGTCGATAAAACCTTCAGGGGAAGGCTAGACCTTACGAAAGCTAGGAGTCAGGATTCACGCTCATGGGAGCGGAATACGCGTTTAACTACAAGTGCTAGTATTCAGGACGCCTTACAGGTAGAAACTAGGTTCCACTGGTCGAGACCATCTTAGTCTAGTCAGTAAGTAAGAGAAGGTCAGGGGAAGCACATCGGGACTCTTCAATTAGCTTTCCTTCCCCTTACCACTGAAGTTTGAGCCTAACATGTATGAGCGAACAGGGAAAGTGTAGTCAGACGGAGGGAAAGGTAGCATAACGCTTGATCCCCCTGCTCCCATTGAACTTTAAATGTAGTCTAAAGTAGTTAAGGGGGACAGGGTAGAGAAGCAATACAACCTTCCCTTAACTGTAAAGTAAATGTAGCCAGGAGAACCAAGTCTACCTCCCTTAGACACTGTAGTTAAAGTAGGTACTGGTTCCGAACCTGTTCTAGCCTTCCCCATCCTTCAATGGTCAGTATCAAGAACGATAAGTGTACAAGGAGGGAACTAAGTGCAGCGATAGCTTATCCCTGAGGCTACCTGTCACCGTTACATGTACTAGCACAGGAGAAAACCTAAGTCTACCTTCGTCGTACCTATGACAGGCGATAGTAAAAGTAGGATAAGGCCCTGGTTCTCCTGCTCTACTTTAACTACAGTGTAAGGGAGACAGGTAGATCTGGTTCCCTGCCTACCTTAGCTAGCATGAAACTATGTGTAACGGGGAAGTGTTGTAGACTGGTATCGGCGGCCTGAGGTTAACATTTACTTACACGATCAGAGGATTTTGGGTGTGTATAGTGTGTACCAGGGATTTTCTTTCTTTATGGTGGAAGGTAGAGTCTGCGGATTGGGGCTCTCTCGCTCTACCTGATATGTTAATTACGTAAGAGAGACGATGCGTTACGTAAGGGCGCATAAGTCAGATCTAGCGCCTTTTCCTGGCTACTTCAAACTACAGTGTAAGGGCAAGGAGACATGTTCCCTGGCTACATTTACTACAGCAACATAGTGTTTGGGCGAAAGCGTCGAGGAACTGGTTCAAGTCTAAAGTAGGCCAGAGTGATAATTTCCTGTCTTACCTTCCCCTATCATCACACTCGAGTAGTTAAGAGAAAGCAGGAAACCAGCTCTACCTTCATCCTAAGTGTAATGCGAGGACTGAGTAGGTGTTAATAGTAGGAGGCAACGGAACCTTGGGTTCTTATCCCCTTCCCCCTTCACACCCCTGGTTATCACGTATTTAAAAGTTTCAGAGGATGGCATGAGGGAAACTGACACGTCTCCTTTCCTTACACCTGGTAGTAATTGTGCCAGGGGAACGGCGAGTAATTAAACGCTACATGAATAAAAAAGGCTTGTAGTTTTCCCACAGCTGAGCAAGGCAAACCTTGATTAACCTCCTTCCCCTTTTACAAACTGTATGTTAAACGTAGAAGAGGGGAACTGGAGGTAACACTTTCTACTTAGTCCCCTTACGTACTTACCATTCTGAAGTAAATGCTACCAGGGTAACCATTTGATCCTAACCCTTCCTACCATTAAGTGTTAAAACGTATGGGCAAGGTTGTCTGATAGTAAACTATGGTTTACCGGCAAGGGAAGCTTCAAAGCAATTTCTAACACCTTTCCCCTTACACTTGTCTGTAAGTAAAAATAGCCCAGAGTGGATAAGAGCATTTCTACCTTGGGAAGTGTATGACTAGTTCCCTGCGCTACATTTAAAACTACACGCCTTGTAGAGGGGAAATGAGTAGGACAGTTTCCTGCCTACTTAACTATCTAGTGTAAAGAAGTGAATTTGAGAGTAGACATGGGTTGGAGCATGACCTCCAGTCTAGCTTTCCAACTCACCAGTGTTAAGGGGAAGGTACGACGCAAAGGTCTCCACCTTGCCTACTTTCTAGACTAACGATGATAAGTCAAAGGGGGCAAGAGGGATAGACCCAGTTACTAGCCCCTTCCCCTTACAGTGCCTAACTTTAACCTTACACCCTGAGTAGTAGAATAAGGGGTAGGGGACAGAGGGTGAAACCCTAGGGTTTCTCACCTGTCCGCGTTACTCTTAACTCTTACAGTGATACAAGGTAGTGTATCATTAGAGGGTGGGTCGAGAGGGGCGACGGCTATGTTCCTACCCCTCGCCCTTACACTTTGGAGAGGTCGGCTTAATAGTAGGCCAAGGGGAAGCCAGTCTACTTTCCGCTCTTACACTATTATCTAGTAGTAAATGTAGGCAAGTGGGAGCAAGTCTACCTTCGACACTTACACTGAGTTCTGTAAGTTAAGGGTAGGCAGGGAACCAGTCTACCTTCCCTTACGCTGTAAGTTTAAAGTAGGCAGGGAAACAAGTCACTTTCCCGCTTACACTTGTTCTGTAGTAATGTAGCCAGGGAACATGTATTCACGAAGCTAGGTAGTTAGCTTCCCCTATGCCCTACTTTAACTAAAGCGTGTAAATAGGTAGACTCAGGTTCCACTGTACTACAGTGTAAGGGGGAAGGTAGACTAGGTTCCCTGCCTACTTTAACTACAGTGTAAGGGAAAGGTAGACTGGTTCCCTGCCTACTTTAACTACAGTGTAAGGGGAAGGTAGAACAGGTTCCCTAAGCCTACTTTAACTACAAGTGTAAGGGGAAGGTAGACATGGTTCCCCTGCCCTACTTTTAAACTACAGTGTAAGGGGAAGGTAGACTGCTGGTTCCCTTGCCGACTTTAACTACAGTGTAAGGGGAAGGTTGACAGGTTCCCTGCCTGCTTTAACTACAGTGTAAGGGGAAGGTAGACTGGTTCCCTGTCTACCTTTACTACAGTGTAAGCAATCCTCTACGCAGTGATCTCTCATTATCAGTACAGAGATCTCTGTCATCACAAACATTGAAATATCAATATTTGGATATTTATATTTTTTAGCTTTTTAATTTATTTTTCATTATTTTGTATACTTTTGATAATTTTTTGATAAAATATAACGGACGTAGGTACAAAAAGTTAAAAATAAAACAGAAAGAGAAAAATGACGTTAGATTTTCTACGTAACGGCCGATATTTACATTTGAATTTCGGCGTTACGTCATGTGACTTTCATCATAATGTGACGTCTGTGAAGGCAGTGATTACAATTCTGCCAAGGGAGGTAATCAGTGTGAGGAGTTTGCAGTGTAAGGGGAAGGAACTCCAGACTATAATAAGCATAGGCTGCTATTTCATCAGAAGTCAACCAGCCGAAGTAGAGTAGCATTTGGGTCGGGCTGTAAACTTTTTTAAGATACTTACCTAATTGGCTTGGGACAAATTAGCAGCCTTTTAATCTGCATATCAATATACAATCTTATTTTGATGTGTTCTGCATATTTTATAATGTTACATCATAATTATACCTTTTATGATTATAATATTATACATTACTGTCGGAAGATGTGTGTACAACATTGAAAGCACTAACTGGAAAGAAGGTAACAAAATAACTGGTAAATTAACTTACTGAATCCAGTTTTGCCTCATAATTATTCGTGAGCTGAATACAAACTTCTTGCGCCTTCGCCTGGCAGGCTTTTTCTACACGCACCCGCCATTTTGTCTCTATGACCGAGTGCCAAGCATCCCAAACTTTTCTTTGTAAACATCTTTGATGATGCTTCTTAGCTATCATGGTACAAAATGTCTGAAAAATATTAAGTTTGTTTGTTTTGTTTTTTGTTGTTTTTTTTTAATTGGGTTTTACGTCATACCAACACAGTACAGGTCATATGGCAATGTTCCAGCTTTAATGGTGAAGGAGGACCTCAGGTGCCCTTCCGTGCATTATTTTAGGCACGGACGCGCACCTGAGAAGAACCACCAATGTTCTGTAAGCTAGCTGGATAGCTTCCTCACTTGAAAGAATTCAAAGTCCATGTCGGGATTTAAACCCACTGTGTTATATTGAAGCTCTTTATATAAATATATGCTGCCTGTAGTTAACAAAATTATAGAGATGGCAACAAGATGATCAGTTAATCCAGAACTGGATCGAATGTCCAAGTATTGCTAAATATAATTGATTATATACATTTTAAGTAAAGTGAAATAATTAAAAATTTCTGAGATATGTATCAAGTTAAATAAAATAATACAGCATTTTTATTCATTTAACAATAATTTCGTGTATGTGCTTATTCATTTTTAAGCAAGTTTACTATCATAATTCTTTCATAAAAGCATTTTGGAAGAAGCAGTTTTTAAAATTCAAACAATAATTATTGCAGCAGCAGAAATATAGCTTTATACATTAAAGTATTCAACAGTATAACGCAATGAAGCTTTCTGATTTACCAATACTAAATATAAAATGTGACCATACATACTATAGCCCTGTATGACAAATGGCTGACGACTAATTTGAAAGTAAAAGTGAATAGTAACACTAGATAGAAGAAATTTGTAAATTTTTCAATCAGTTTTTTTGTAGTACTCAATTATAAGATGGTTTACCAATACTATATTTGAAGTTTGAGTCTCAAAAATGCGTCTTATAACGGAAAATGGACGATACATACACATGCCATCACGTCCCGGATGTCCGGGAATGTCCCGGAAATTAGGTGTCTGTCCCAGAGGCGTCCCAGACATGATTCATGCCCCGATAATGATAAAAATCTAAAATAATCTACTTTGCAACTAGAAATTTTACATTTTTATATAATCTTATTGCCAAGTTTTTTATTAAATATCTGTCGGAAAGTCTGTATGTAAAGTTATACCTCTCTTTTGAAATCATTATGTTTCATCTTCCACTCACAGAATGTTCTCATCATTTCATTTTTATCCTTCTGTTTCTGCATTGCATGCGTCAGATTAGAGATTACTTGATCCTTCCTGTCTATGGATTTTTCATACGTAGCTAGTAATTCCTTTAAACTATTTATTTCTTCTACAAGTTTCATCTTGTCAGAGGCATGCCTGAAATACAGAGTCTAATATACCAGTCAATGTCTTAACATGTCCAACATTTTTTGAACAACTTCAAGACTTCAACAAGCAAATTCGTTGAATTTATATCCCCCCGCCGAATACTGGTTATTACTAACACAACAACCGAAGACATGCTAAGGCTTTATTTATATATTTATCATGGCATAAACAATAATATTCTTTGTACTTGATGAATATTCAGGGCAATAATAGAGCCATAACTCTGTGTTAGATAGTAATATCTTGACATGCCAATGAGATGTAAATTGCCTTTGTGTATCCATGGTTGCCATAAAGTTTTGTTGAACTCAATACAGCAGTTGCAAAGAAATAGCAATATTGCTCTAAATGCATACTACATAACTAATCAAGGGCCAAAACTCAGAGTTAAAGTGTCTGACCGGAACAAGCTATATGCACATCTCCTCTTGGTAATGAAGGTTCCCGTAAAATTTCGTTGAATTCCAGTCAGTAGTTACAGAGAAGTAGCACGGAAAAGATTATTGCTCTGGTTGCATACTGCATAAATATTCAAGGGTCATAACTTTTACATAAGTTTAAGTGTCTGACCGGAACAAAGCGATGATATAGGCATCTCCTCTTGGTATTTAAGGTTCCATAAAGTTTCGTTGAATTCCAGTCAGTAGTTACAGAGAAGTAGCACGGAAAAGATTATTGCTCTGGTTGCATACTGCATACTGCATAATTAATCAAGGGCCATAACTTTAACATAAGTAAAAGTGTCTGACCGGAACAAAGCGATGATATACGCATCTCCTCTTGGTATTTAAGGTTCCATAAAGTTTCATTGAACTCCAGCCAGTAGTTGCAGAGAAGTAGTGCGGAAACGAATATAATGTTCTATATGCATACTGCATAACTAATCAAGGGCCATAACTCTGAGTGTCTGACCGGAACAAGCTGACGATAGGCGCATCTCCTCTTTGTATTGAAGGTTCCCATGAAGTTTTGTTGAATTCCAGCCAGTTGTTGCAGAAAAGTAGTTCAGAAACTAATAACTAATCAAGGGCCATAGCTCTGAGTTAAAGTGTCTGACCGGAAAAGACGGCGATATGCGCATCTCCTCTTGGTATTGAAGGTTCCCATAAAGTTTTGTTGAATTCCAGACAGTAGTTGCTGAGACATAGCGCGGAAACCATTTTAAATCTATATGCATACTGCACAACTAATCAAGGGCCATAACTCTGATTTAAAGTGTCTGACTGGAACAAGGCGACGAAATGTGCATCTCCTCTTGGTAATGAATGTTCCCATAAAGTTTTGTTGAATTCCAGCCAATAGTTGCAGAGAACTGCCCGTCCCTAGATTTGCCACTACTTGCCAGCTATTTCCCCTGAAAAGGGTGGCATTAAGTGTAAAAAGGGTGAAATTAACTGGAAAATGACAAAATTCCACTCTTTTTCCACTGTAGTGGCAAAATTACCACCAAACGCCACTATCCTTTGGTGGCATTTAGGTGGCATTGAGTGGAAATTTGAACATAGACTTTTTTCATGGTGGCAATAAGGTGGAAATTGGTGAAAAATGAAACTTAATTTATTTTGAAGGTGGGAAATGAGTGGCTTTTAGTGGAAAAGCAAAACTCTAACTATTTTCTGGGTGGCAAATTAGTGGAAAAAAACTTAGAAATTTTTGTGAATAACTTTTAGTCGAACAGGGAAAGGGAAAACTGAGAAATGATTGTGCATTGCAGGGTTTAAAAGATTTATTTAAGTTAAAGCTCCAAACTGAAATAAATCTGTTTCTAGGTTTTATCAAAGCATCAAGTGAACTTTTTATCAAAAATAGAATAAATTAAAGTTGACCAGTTTGAAAATTTATCAGAAACTCGTATTTCTATAAAATATTTTATATGCAATACAAGAATGCCATGAACACAATTCTGATACAAAGTCACTGCCCATAATGGTATGATAATTCCAGCTGTAAAGTAGCAGGAAAAGACACTGAAATTGGACGTGAAATCACTTTTCCAGGCGTAAAACACACATAATTAATTAAGAGCAAGAAAAATTAGAAAAGTATGGGGTTACTTTATTTTCCATTTTTTCTTTCTTTTTTTTTTTCAGTAATTTTCTTTAGGGATGTAAAGTTTGACTTAAAGTCAAAAATGTCTATGTTCCATTCTATGCTTGTAAAATGAAATTACGGCTGTCACAAAAGTGTACTTAGCTTTTTTAGTTGCAATCTGTACATTAAATAGTTGAAATGTTCTTCAATGCCCAGAAAATGCATTTTTCTGCATAAAGTTTGTTGTTAAAATCTGCTATGATATTTGATGTCAATCTTGAATAAATTTTGACTTTGGTCTTTTCTTCTAATTGAGATTTGTCTCTTTAATATTACTTTAAGCTAATATCTGGTGAGTACTTACACTTTTCATGTGATGCTTACAATAATTAAAGTGAAAAATGCAAAGGGCAATATCTCCAAAAGTATGCAAAAGAGTTATGGTTCTTAAACACAGCACATTACTCACAAAGATCTATATCTGTGAAGTTTCAAATTAATATCTCCAATACTTTTTAAGCTTAATAATCAGAACAAAAATTAAGCATGGAGAAGTACAAAATGGAAATAAACCCCAAATCATGCAATAAAGACTCTTTAAGAGTTATGATTCCTATGCCTTGTACTTTTCATCAATGAGATTTAGTTACATGTGGAGTTTAAAATTATTGTATCAAACATTTTTTGTACTATGCTTTGCAAATTAAAACTTGCAAAGGGCAATAACTCCATAACTTTGCAGGAGAGAGTTATGTATTTTAAAGAAGAAAAAAAAACATTAATCAAACTTGTTAACAATAATATTTAAATGCTATTTAATAAATATACATAAAAATAGATCAGCCTTCAAGATAATGAAGCACTGTGCTTGCTTATTATACATACACAATATAGTATGCCTATCAGAGGCTTTAAATCTATAGTAAAAATAATTGTGTGAAAAGTAAATAGCTAATAGTTCCTGATAATTTCTTATAATCAGGATAAGTAAAAAATACTAGCTAGTAAATACTGCATCCTATAAGATTTAACAACAAGGCATACAACACAGATCTGATAAAACTACTGCCCTCTTATCTAGTAATCTCTGCATGGGGTTAATAGTTTACTCAAGCTGACCAGACTGTTCCATTTGATTGTTTTGGGAGAGGCAACATTATACATGTTATATGTAGAATCTGTGTTAAAATAGCATGCTAAATTATCTTTCAAAAACTTATTTCTACTCAATCTATTTAGATATTAGACATAGTTTATACATTCAAATGAATGTAAAAAATAAAATGATGGGCGCTATGGTTTTTGAATAATCCCTCACAGTTTAAAATTATAATGGAACCTTCCAGTTGTACGGTTGTAAAGTTTGAATTCAAAGGAATTGAGGTCAGTTAAAGCTTGCAAACACAAAGGAAATGATTGGTATTGTAGCAATTCTGGAGATATTATCTTGTTTAAAATGTAAGGGTGCATATTTTTGATTTCTCAAAGAATACATTAAAAGTCTTATTAGTGTGGCAAATAGAAATGAGAAGTTTTAACTGAAGTGTGAATGTGTAATGTATAACATTAGACAAGAAGATAAACAGCAGAATCATTCCAAGTCAAAGTTTCAGGTAAGCAACTTTTACATATAACATTTATTATTATTTTTGCAGAAACTATTAAGTTTTTTTTACAGTAAAAATAATGAAGTGGTATTGTATAAAATTATGTTTTAAATCTGTTATGTTTGTAACTTGACTAAAAAAAGAAAGCTGAAATTACATATAAAGAATGTAGGAATGTAAAGAATGTAGGAAGAGCTTCATCATTTCATAAATACAGTATGTTAGAAATTTTAAGTTTAAGAAAATAATTATAGAAATTAATCAGTAAGTACAATATCAGTATTATGTACAATATTACATCAATCAAACTATAGATAACCAGGTACCTATTACTACAACTTTCATGCTATAAACATATTTCCTTGTGTGTCACATGTGAATCAGATCAAAAGTAACTGTTTTAATAGTAAGCTTCATTCCTTCATGCATTGTTGTAATTCAGCTTTCATGGTGCAGTAGATATATAACCATAACTAGACAGTCTAGAGTAGGAGAATGACAGTTCATAACAGAAACAGCATTAAATAAGAATTATTCTTTTGCAGACACAAAGCAATGCGGACCAGCCTGGAGCAACACACTTGTTCTTCAGTGGCTTTAAAAAGGTATCTTGTTAATTCAAAGTTATTTCAGAATTGATAGGAAAGAAGTGTCGCAGTACCCAATAAGACACTTTTCAGTTCTTAATAAATATAGCTATTATGCACTATTTACAAACCTACTTTTATTCAAACTCTTTATGACACTTTAATTTGCATTTACATTTAGTTTTACAAATTTTAGAGTTTTTGTACACCTAAGTTTGAAAATTTTGTCAAATATTTATCCTGATGAAGGTTCGTTAAGAACTGAAACCACAGTATATAAACGATTTGAACCCCAACCGGATCTTGTGAGAAGATTTTAGTGTCAGCCATATTCTGCCACTTCACTTGTTTGAGATATTGGTATTTATATTGATACTGATGGACGTTAGGTTAGTAAATCTATATGTATATTATAAGAGAGAAACTTTATTAAACGTCTAAGTTATGCAAAACATAAACGTAAGCACGAAGGCTATAAAATAATCGAAACTCACGAACAACTTTCAGGTGATCAACACTGAACACGAACAAAAACCCGTCATATTCCAATGTTGATTTAGTTAAACATTGAATTGTGATATCGAACTACTAAAGTGATAAATAACAAACAATAATTTAGTCATATGCATAACATATTGCTGTATCTTGAACATAAATTTAAGAGTTTATCAAGGAGGTCATTTCCGTAAACTGAACGTTACTTGCTGGTGATTATGAACCCTACTTGTGAGTTTACGAATTTTATCTGTACCCTGACTTGTGA